ACCGGCCCCGGGGGCCCAACCCAACCCAACCCCCGGCAGCCGCGGCCAAGCCGCGGCTCGGTGGCGGGGTGAGAGGCACCGCAGCCGCTTGGGGCTGGCGGTGGTTCCCGAGGCAGCAGCCGCCTCCCTCCGAGGGCCCCGGCGCATGCTCGTGTCTGCGTGGAGGATGGGGGGGCCTCCTTCACCAGGATGTTAAAAAAACCCTCCACCCATAATCTACTTAATTGTTGGTATCTTGGATCCTGCCTTGTCTGCACCTCACTAAAGGCAAGCTGGATGCCAACAGTGACAGAGCTAAATGGGCTGCAAGTGCAGGATTCAGCAAAGTTACGCTGCTCCAAGAGCATCTGATAAGGCTGGAAGGTTTACCTTCTCCCACCCCATAAGTGACTGTGTGTGTGAGTGTGTGTGAGAGAGTGTGTGAGTGAGTGCAAGCAATAAAACATTTTCTGTGAAGCACAACAAGTTCCTTGTAAACCAGCACTGGGAATAAATGCAATAAATAAACAGCCCCATCGTAACAGGGACTGGTGGGCAATACCCTTGCAAAGTTGTGACAATTTCAGTTCATTACTCGGTTTCTGTCGAAATGAAGGCCAAATTTCATTCGCGGTGAAATGTCCCGTCCCCCCCCGACTAGTCACGTCTTATTTTACAGCGTGTGTACGTGTGTTGCCCTGCGCCTCCTTGTTACATATGCTTGTTGGTTCAGACAAGGGTCTTATCTTAATGCAGTGCCATAGAGGGACAGATCCAGCATGATTTATTCTTTAATAAAATATTTCAAAGCTGGTTTTTTTATTTGTTACATAATTCAGCAAACGCCAGCCATGGAGGCGCTGAACTGCCCACCGCCAGCACGGAGCGCAGCATCTGCGGCACCTGCAGCTTTGCTCTCACTCGTGCCCACTCAACCTTCTCCTGCTCCTCTGTGCCTTAAAGCTTTCCCGGCTTGCTGCGCGTCTGCGGCGGCTGGTCCCTGGCCTTTCCTCTCCGGCTTTGTGCTCCTGCAAACCATCCTTCCCCGAAGCCAACGGACCTGCTGGGTGCTGGCAGAGTGCTTGTGTGTCCCCAGGCTTCCTGGGAGAGCCCTTTTGCTTTCTAAAAGTGCTGGGTTTAAACTCCTGGTTTACCCGGCCTCTCCTGGGAGCAGGCAAGGGTGTGCTTGGAAATGGTCCCTGGCAGATGATTGCACTGTAGTGGGGATGAATGCAGTGGGAAGCACTTTGCCCAAGGGCTGTTTCCTATAGAAATGTCCTATTGACTTCAAGCAAAGGCTGAGGCTGTCAGTGCTGCATGGACAAACCCTGTGGCACAAGAGCAGCAGCCGCTCGTGCACTCCGTGGTGCAGTGAGCTGAGGATAACTGGTTTGACTGTGGTTGACTCCAGAAGTGCATTGTTCTTCTAAAAAATACATAAAATAGGCCAGGAGCTGCCATTTTTATTTAAAGCTGAGAATGTTGTTTCAGTTTCTGATGTAAATTATTAAGACAGAGGCTTGTTTGTGTTGTTTCTTTTGGGTACCCAAGGGTCTGGAATTGCTGTAGGCTTAAACAAGGTGGAAACAGAGAGAGAAGCTCATGGTACCTGTGGGACAAGGAGTCGATGTTTGGTTATGGGAACAGTTGAATGGAAATTATATAGATTTTATGCATTGACTTAGGTGTGAAGAGCTACAGATCCTTTTAGAGAGCAGCAGCCGCATTTTGCAGGCACGACTTCCCAGGTAATATCTGTATCACCTGCTTCTTCCTTCCCACCGCCCTGGCGGGGCTGCAGCCACAGTGGGACGCAGCCCCTCGCTGCTGCGGTTGCTCTGCCTCGTCCCCCCTTCCTCGGCTGCCGCAACCCCAGCTCTGGCAGCGGATTCTGCAGCTCACCGCAGGGACTCTGTGTCCCCTGCCCCGGCCCTCCCTGCTCTGCCTTCTCCTCAGCAAAGGCAATGCCGCTCCTTTGCTGTGACTAATCCTGCCACAGCTCTGGTTTTGCCTCCACTGAGCCCTCCCCTACTCCCTGGCTACGGCTGTGACAGACCTCCTGCAGCACTAAATCAATACCATCTCTCAGGCTGGTTTTCTTCCCTTTTCTACTAGAGCACCCCTTTGGCCTCGCTGCCGCCTTATCCATCCAACACAGCTCTTCCAGCCTCAGCCTTCACGCTGGGTTATTGCCCAGCCCAGCGGCTCCGATCTGGTTTTCACCATGTAACCTTTCCTTTAGCCTTACACACTCCTTCTGCCCCTCCGGTTCACTGTCTCCTCCTCTCTGCTGCACGCACTGGCCTTGCTATTTTTCCTCCTGTGCACACTTTTGATACACACGGTTGTTCAGCATCACCTATTTGAGGCAGCTCTACAGAACGTGCAGGTACTTCAACTTCGCTCCTCATCCCCTACCACCACTGTCAACTTCACCCACTCAGTTCTTGGGAGTGTAAAGGCGTTTAGCAGAATTTTTTTTTTCTCTCTCACATTTGTTCTGATGAAATGTAATAACCTGTGCACAGCAACTAGCTGTGATCTCTGCTGCAGTGAAACCTGCAGAGTTATATGCATGAACTTTGGTGAATCAGAAATAAAATTAAATCTTGCTAGCAACCCCATGCCCCCCAACTTCTGAATCAGCCAATATTGTCTGAAGCCCTTATTTAGCTGTATGGAAGCACCTTTTACTGGCACGACCGGGATATCCCAAATACATGGTGTAAACAAAGACAATGTCACACGCCATCAGTTTGCACCTTTATTTTTTAAAAATGAAATAGTCAAAGTACTTTCTTTTTCAAATATCGACACATAATATATTAACTTTTAATATTTACAGCGTGTTGCTGGGATGTTCTTGTAGAAAATGCATGCTTCTGGTCTGAAACCCAGAGCAAAATGCATCAGACCATTTAACTGCAGCCATATAACATAAACCTGTACAGTATCCAGTCACTATTCAGCACAGGAGTTAGAGCAGGAATAAAAAAATTGGGATCTATTGTTTCCTAGCAACGAGGCTGAGGCCATTATAACACAATTTCTGTTAAGATCAGAACCTCTAACTGGTGTTAGACAGAAACTGAAGATCTTGGCATACATTGTAAACATTTTTACTGTTGATGAGAAAGCTAAAAAGGAACGTTACTTTGACATATATTGTATGCTATGCTTCTCTTTCTCGTTTATTGACACTTCTGCCTGA